GTATGTCTAAATTGATTAGATATCTTTCTCTTCTTGTACAAACTTCAAAGTCTGATTTCAAGCATGGAGCTCCAGGCCTGTCCGCAAAAAGGTCAGTGTACCCCTTCAGCTGAGTCTTACTGACATACTGTTAGTTCAGAATCTCTGCCCACCTGAACGAGCGACGGGTGTGTCAGAGGAAAAGTTCCACTAAACAATTATGGTCTGACTGACCTTCATCGGGTACAAAGGCAAATATTCACACATACAAACAGAAGTGTTTTTCTGGCGGTAGTATAGGGACACAGTTCATGCTTCTCTGAAGTTATTTAAACATTATTCTGAATTTAATCTTGAGAAGTTCATGTAGTAAATTGTGTTTAAGTAACTAAATAAATGAGTGAAAAACATTTGCTCTATATTTGTGTTATTAATTAATTCACGTTGTTTAAAGGTTAACAACTACGCATTCTTCTTCTTTTAACTTGTGCAGATATAGTTAATTATGTCAATTATTTTTATAAAAGAAAATTTCAGAGGTTGTGTGGATGACCAGTATTATCACCTCATTAATGACAAAGTGTTTGGTTTAAGCATTTTCAGTGAATGAAAATGTGGCTATTTACACACGTGTGTATGAAGGTGAGCTGGATTGAAACGCTGCAATTTAATAAATCTATTATCTATGTGGGAGTTCATTTTAAATCACATACTTTACAACTTAAGTAAAATTGAGACAGAGTTTGGTAAAGCAAAGGTTAAACACTCACACATGAACTGCTGCACTAACAGCTAGTGTGGTAGGAGGACACCTATGCAAGTCAGGCTTTGAAAAGTATTTATGTCTCTTTGGGATTAAAAATAAATCATTTAAACCAGTGGTTCTTAACCTTGTTGGAGGTACCGAACCCCACCAGTTTCATATGCGAATTCATTGAACCCCTCTTTAGTGAAAAATAAAATATGATTTTTTTCAAATTCAAGACGTAGATGTGTTTTTTACTGGTGTACAAAATGAGCCGTGCATGTCACGGCAGAGGCTCTGCCCAAACCCCTGAGACTGACTCACCGAACCCCTAGGGTTCGATCGAACCCAGGTTAAGAACCACTGATTTAAAGGCTGGCACGGCTCATTTTAAAGGAGGATCTCACTGAAAAACTGCAACTGGCCCCCAAACCAAGTGTGCGGTGAGTTCATTAATCCATTTCTACACCTTGAGGAAATGCCTCTCCTGTTTTGTGCACTTGGTAATCTAACCCTTTAAAGTCTGAGCCATGAAACAATTGCAAGAAAACCTTCTGAGCAAATGAAGGGAAAAAAAGAAAGAAATAATAATTTGCATGTATGAGTTTACTACATCATCAGATTTACTACAAAAGGTATTTTTTGTGTAGCCAGCAAAAGTTTTCCCGGTTTATTAATGATATCAAACTGCCTCTTACATGTCTTCAATGCATCATCTTAAATGTGAACTCAACAGGTTTCTTACTGAGAGCCACTATTCTGTGGACCCTGTCTTTTTTCCACATAACACACACAAAAAAAGTGTGTTCAAACATGTAACCGCATCTTTAAAACAAATATGAGCAGAGGGACAGACTTTTA